ATCAAAACCGCATAAGGTTTAGGTGAGCTGGCATCAAAACGGCCTAAGGTCATCAAATCTCAGCAGTTTTCACGAAGAAGAAGATCTTTTGGAAATCAAAGAACTGATCAACGATCAGTTAATCGAATCCCGAGGGATCCCTTCATCAACAACCTAGTCCACTTGGCAATTAACCGAATCTTCGGTTCCAACAACTCTGTTATAGAGTTTTAACTCACTCTGAGTTTATTTCTGAAACTCATTTTAAGAGTTCGTGATTAAGTTTGCAACCCAACTTAATCTCATCAAACCAAACAGTCGGTTTTCAACAACTCTTGTCAGAGTTCTTAACTCGTTCAGAGTTCTTTACACTCGTCAAGAGTTCTAAACCGAAGTCATCAAACGCTTCAATTGTTCCAGTGAAGAAGGACGGTCGGATCGTCAACGGAGAGCAAGTTCGACGAGATCAATCGAAGGAGGCACTCCATCGCTACCAAGAAGAACCCAGTTTTAAACAAAGGGGAAAACCAAATTCGTTTTCCTCTCTTTTGTAATCGGAATCCAAATTGTAATCGATTTTGAGAGGAATACAAGTTCGAATTTTTCTTTCATTGTCTTTTTACATCAAATTTCCAACAAACAATGGGCTTGCAGCAAACCCATCAACTCATCGAAAGAGTATGTGGACAGGTCCTTGGACTCTTCGATTGCTACCACGACATGGTCGAATTTTGCTGTAAGGCTGCGGAGCACCTTTATAACCACGATCTTTTCTGTGAGATCTTCACCACAACTCTTGATTTGGTTGACGATGGATGTGACTCTTGTGAGAAATGCTTGAACAGATTCACCTTGATTCATGTTCAACGTCTCAAACTCTCTTCTCAAGCCTTGTAACCTTATCTCACGAACTTTCGAATTTCCCTGGAATGCGGTTTTTAGGGTTGTCCATGCCTCCTTTGTCGATGCCGCTGCTGCTATTTTTATGAACATCGTGTCAACAACGGCTTGTTGAATGAAGAATAACGCCTTCGCATCTCGCTTTGCTGTTTCTGTTGGTGTGGGATCTGTGTCCGGTGCTCCCGTCTCCAACAATTCCTATAGACCTTGCGACTTGAGCAAAGTTCGTATCTTGATGCTCCAGAACTCGTAGTTATCTCCCTTGAACTGTGGAATCGATGGATTCGAAACGCTCATGTTCTCTGCCATGGTCGGATCTGCCCAGATCTCTCACCTTTGACTCTGATACCAAAATTGTTGGAAGTTTCAGTAATAGAAAAAACAGAACACACAGAATTATTTGTTTTTTTACTCAACTTCCTTAATTAACAGATACAAAAGACATAATATTTAATACAGAGCATAATCCTAATTTAGCACCCACTAACCCCAAAATAACGCTGCTATAACTAGCCTATAACCAACCCACTACATAACTTCAACTAAATATGGAAACTACCCTCTCTAAACTAATTCCAGCACACCTCTAAGCAAAGAACATGGCTGACTATAATTAACAACCGGATTACAACTTATTCTTAACAAAAATAGACCTACAACTAAAAAACGTAGCCTCTAGAAACTGCAGCTCTTATGCGCCTTGCTGACTTGGCTGCTGACTTGGATTACATTCAACATGTAGACCCAAACCTTAGAACAAGCATGCAAAGCAAAGATTTCTCTAAGTTAAGAAATCAGGTGAACTTGGAAGTTCAGGCAAACTTGGAAGTTCAGACGAGCTTGATAATTCAAGTAAACTTGGAAGTTCAGGCGAAGCTCGAAGCTGAGTTCAAGCGAACATGCAGTTCATGCAAGCTTTGGAAGTTCAGGAGTACTTGGAAGTTTGGGCAAACTTTGGAGGTTCATGCGAACTCCAAGTGCAGGCAAGCTCCAAGTGCAGGTGAAGCAGTTCATGCGAGCTTGACTATGTTCAGGCGAACATAAGTCATACATGCAATCTTCGTAGTCAGGCGAACTCGTAGAATCTGTTTTGACCTAGGGTTTCCCTATAAATAGGGAACCCTGGCCGCCACTTGAAAGGGAGTGTTTCCAGATCTCCAGAACGATTTCCTGTTGTGATTTTTGGTGGTGTTTTTGCATCGCCTTTAGCGGCGATTTTTCAGAGAAAAATCCCACGTGTTCCTGTAGCAATTCTATCGTAGCGATTTTTGATAGAGAGATCTCAGGGAGTTTGAGATCATCTCTTGCAAGCTTTGTAATCTTCTTTAATATTAAAAGGAATTTTTTGTGTGGCTCCCGAGCACGTAGGCAAGTTGTCAAACCTTGTTAAAAATTTGGTGTTCCCTCTTTTATCCTTTTCTTGCAAGTTTCTTTTATTTGTTGCGATTTCTTCTTACATTCTTTCGACACAAGATTTGGAGGGCACGCTGCGTGAGGGTTCATTGATAGGTAGTCGATAGGACAAACCCCCAACAACTTGTATCAGAGCTTCGTTCGGATTAAATCTATGTGAGAGCTATGGCAGAAGAAGACAAATCAAAGATTGAGAAGTTTGACGGATCAGATTTCGCCTACTGAAAGTCGTAGATAGAGGACTATCTGTACCAGAAGGATATTTACCGTCCGTTGATGGGTAAAGCAAAAGGAAAGAAGGAGGATGAGTCAAACAAGGACTAGGAAATATTAGATCGAAAGGCTCTAGGGCAGATCCGATTGTCGCTAGCAAAATCAGTCACACAGAATATATTAAAGGAGAAGACGACGGTGGGGCTTATGGAAGTACTCACAAAAATGTACGAGCAACCTTTATCAACGATCACTCGAGAAAGGTGTGAGTATACTTCATGAAGCACAAGTCAGAGGTATTTGGAATTTTCAAGAAGTGGAAAGCCATGGTAGAGAATGCGACTGATCTGAAGGTAAAGTGTCTGAGATCAGACAATGATAGAGAATATGAGATGGAGGAGTTTAAGAAGTTCTGTGTTCTGAATGAGATTCGTTTAGAGAGGACTACTCTAGGAACATCGCAACAGAATGACGTTGTAGAGAGGATGAACAGAACGTTGACAGAGCATGCGAGTAGCATGCGCTTACATGCAGGTCTACAAAAAATATTTTGGTCAGACGCGGTGCATACAACAGCCTACTTAATAAATTATGGGCCTTCAGTCCCATTAGACTTTGGGATTCCAGAAGAGGTTTGGAATAGCAAGAAGGTTAATCTCTCACACTTGAGAGTCTTTGGTTATGTGGCATATGTTCATATTAGTGACCATATCAGGGACAAGCTAGAAGCTAAATCACAGAAGTATACATTCATTAGATATGGTATTGATGAGTTCGGATATCGTCTGTGGGATGAGAAGAACAAAAAAATCATCAGGAGCCGAGACGTCATATTCAATGAAGAGGTAATGTACAAGGACAGAGACAATGCAAAGGATAACAAAAACAGTGGGAGCAGCACTAAGGATACAGGTGCATCCGAGTACATGGATTTGGAGGAACTTCCAGATGGGAGAGACAATGTTAGTTTTGACCAAAGAACGGAGGAGACTCCAGGTGTAGAGAAGACTACCTAGGGCGAGGAGCTTAGGAGATCATCTAGGGTGCCCAAATCAAATCTCAGATATCTTCCATCACTTGATTACTTGCTTTTGACAGATAGCAGAGAACCGGAATGCTATGAGGAGACCATGCAAGTTAGTGAATCTCAGCAGTGGGAGAATATGATGCAAGAAGAGATGAATTCTCTCCACTCAAATGAGACATGAGAGTTAACCCATCTACCTGCACGGAGGACAGTCTTACATAACAAGTAGATTTACCGGGTCAAACATGAGAGTGATGGAAGCAAGAGATACAATGCCAGATTAGTTACGAAAGGATTCCAACAAAGAGAATGAGTGGATTATACAGAGATATTTTCCCCCATCGTGAAGCTTATAACCATCAGGGTGATGTTGAGCTTAGAAGTTGCTGAAAAATCTCTACATTGAGCAGTTGGATATAAAGACTGTCTTTCTTCATGGTGACTTGGATAAAGAAATCTATATATATGAAGCAACCTGTTGGCTTCATTGAGGAAGGTAAATAAGAGATAGTGTGCACGCTGCGTGAGGGTTCATTAACAGGTTGTCGATAGGACGAACTCCCAACATAGTACGCCTGAATGGTTGTTACACGCAGTTTACTTAATGTGGGAAATTAATTAAGTGTTCGTATGAGCAGTATATATACCTTGGAAATTTCGAACTTCTGATTTTCTTTTGGCCATACTTTCTCCATTCATAGCCATCATAATGCGGAATAGTAGTCAAAATATTCCATGAATCCAATCTCTTCCTGCCGTAGAAAAATAGAAAAGAACAAATAAAGAAGGAATAAAAGGAAACAATTGTCATCAAGTTGTATAGTGCTGAAAGCGGAGCGCAACAAAAAGATGCAGAAATGTGTTAGAAATAGGCACGTAGCAACCTTTTCATGTGGCTATACCATTCAGCTCTGGAACTTGTTTTGAGCTTGGAGAGGAGAGAGGTTAAAGAACCTAATACATCCTCAAAGAGATCCCCGATGAGCTCAGAGTAGCCATCAGTACGAGGAGATGGAGGGAGCGCAATTGCGCGAATCTTGCATATCCCCTCGTGTGCCCTATTCGCCTCTTTGATCATCATCAAATATTCCAAGTGATCACAAGGCTCAAAATTCGGTAAATCCAGTGAAGCGGCCATCTTCTCTGATGAGGGGGATACAACCTAATCGCATTTCCCTTAAATAGGCCAGTGGTTACTGTATCGTCAATAACTTGAGCGAACTATTCAGTCTTGAATTCAGATTTCTGGGAGCTAAATACCCATATTGATATTTTAATTCCACCACATTTATCAAGAAAGTATTTTAATTAGGCAAACCTACTTTAAGGTATTTTAATTGATTCAACTTACCAACAAGGCCATTTTTCTCGCCGGCGACCAGTTTTCCGGCGAGAACTCGTCACGTGTGTTGCACGTGATGACTTAAAATATTTTTTGGCTTTTGATGTGGCACGGATTTTCTGATGTGACAATGTTTAAAGGCGGGAATTAACCCTCTAAAAATCCCAATTCACCTAAAATAGGACAGATCCGTGCCACATCAGCAGCTAAAGAACAGTTTTAAGTCATCACGTGCCACGTACGTGACGAGCTCTAGCCTGAAAACTGGTCGCCGACGAGAAAAATGACATTGTTGGTAAGTTGAATCAATTAAAATGTCTTAAAGCAGGTTTGCCTAATTAAAATAGCTTCTTGGTAAATTGGGTGAAATTAAAATACTAATATAGATATTTAGCCAATTTTCTAAAGTTACTGTTCTCGCTACAAACAAAGTGATAGCTTACAACATTTTAAACAACATGCACAAACGTTTTTAAAGCGTTGAAATGCTGTGCCTCCACTTTTGGCTCTACCGTGCGCGCAAACACCAACGTTCTCAGGGAACAGCGATGGTGCCAAACGTTGTCATTTGCCCACGTTTCTTTTGCAAATGTTGACATTTGGCGACGTTCTTTCCACCAAACCGGGGGGCCATCACAACCCAGGCTATCACGCTATTCAGAATACCAGATTCTCAATTCCTGCTATTTCACAAAATTAGTTACTATTACTCATAAAAAAAAAGCCAACCAACCATTTGAACTTCGGAATGAAATCTATGAATTTCTCATTGATATCACTACTACAAAGAAGGCCTGCCCCAACGGTTGTAACCGTTGGGGCAGATAGTATCCCCAACGGTTGGGACCGTTGGGGCAGATAAATCAACCGTTATAGCAAGTGGCGTTGGGGCTGAAACTGTTCCAACGAGTGTAATTTCTGCACCAACGGTTGTACCCGTTGGTACAAGTAAAAATATAATTAAATATTTAAAAAAATTTTAAATCATGAAAAAAATGGCACCAACGGTTACAACCGTTGGTGCAAAAAACAGCACCAACGGTTGTAACCGTTGGTGCAAAACAACAGCACCAACGGTTGTAACCGTTGGTGCAAAGAGTTGCACCAACGGTTACAACCGTTGGTGCATATATTGTGCATTAATTGTTTCAAAACTTACACCAACGGTTACAACCGTTGGTGCTTGTGTTTCTCCTTTTTTTCACTTTTGCCTACAATGTTTGCATATAACATTTCCCACAAAAATATATAATACACCTGTTCACAACATATATATTCCCACGCATAAAACAAAAGATTGACTAGAACCAAAATACAACAACTTATAATTAACTCAAGTCCCAAAAGAGGATATCTGAAATATACAAATGTCTTAATTATGTTAATTAAAAGTACAAGTCACGGGTGATTTAATCGAATATAATCAGCAAAAGCTTTGCGGATGTCATCCTCGCTATAGCCCTCCTGTGTAAAGCTCCCTAAGACGCCCCCCAACATGCCCCCCAGCACGCCTCCCAATCGACTAGCAAGAGGGTTTTGTGTCGAAATATCCTGAGGAGAACATTGAGCAGCAGATGTAGAACCCTGAGCATCCAGAGAATGATGAGCTAAAGTCGGGGGAGTAGTAGCAGGAACAACAGGTGGTGGACGAGTGGTCTGAGAATCAATCTGTAAAATAATTCGAATTCACACTAAGTATATCCAAACATGTAAACTTAAGCTTAATAAAATGGCCTTTTGTTGTATGAATAATTTATGACATGCATTTGTAGTGTTGAAGCATTTGTGACATGAATGCGGCTAACTATTAAGAAATGACATTAAACATATAACGACAAAAATAATCTTATGCAAAGTAAAAGCAACGAGGGATGATAAATACTACTGAAGACGTAAATAGTAAGGATCATCTTAATTGTTGTCTTACTGTCTTAATATTAACAGATAGGATAAGGATAGTTTTCATGTTTCATTATTTTGTGGACTTAATTACAAGAGATAATCATGACGTAGAAACAGTACTTTTGTTGTATGAATAATTTATGACATGCATTTGTAGTGTTGAAGCATTTGTGACATGAATGCGGCTAACTATTAAGAAATGACATTAAACATATAACGACAAAAATAATCTTATGCAAAGTAAAAGCAACGAGGGATGATAAATACTACTGAAGACGTAAATAGTAAGGATCATCTTAATTGTTGTCTTACTGTCTTAATATTAACAGATAGGATAAGGATAGTTTTCATGTTTCATTATTTTGTGGACTTAATTACAAGAGATAATCATGACGTAGAAACAGTACTTTTGTTTCTGTTTTCCCGTAGAAACATTAACTTTAAACCCTTACACAACTGACAAGCACGCATTATGTGTTGAAAAGATTTGTGTTGAAAAGAAAAGACTGTCAAGCACGCATTATGTAGCAAGTCTTTTAGCAAGAGAACAGAAATATCCATGAATCGCTACTCCAATTCAGGCAACAAGATTTTCACGGTCCATCACAGACTAATATATGCCTTGCAATACATGTTCAAAGCCTTTACAGTTATCAAATGTCTAAGCATTGAAACCTTGTCAGTCTTTGACCAGGAACACAATTTTAGTCCCACATGCGATTTGAATGAGAAATATGTAGCAACTAGTTATTGTGAGTCTTTAATTTTTAATTTTCTTTTAAAGAAGTATATATCTAAAGATAAAGACATTACATGCATGTTTTATGTCTGATTTTTATACTTCTTTAACATGATGTTCACTTAAAATATGATGAAGACTAGGCCAAGTCAAGTTTTTTCTTTAATTTAGCCAAAGTATATACACATGTAACTTATAGGTTTGATTAGTCAAGCGCGCACAAAAGAATCTATCTCAATGTTGTCCTCTATGTCAACATCCGCGAATTGTGGTACATCGTAGGTATCTCTCGGCTTCCATCGACAAACAACACTCCATCCCGAATGCTTCAAGCATTTTGAGTAATATACTTGAAATGCTTGTTCCGGGAATATATATGGTTCGTCTTCAAACTCAAAAAGATTAGTGTTTACACTAGTCAATCCATATTCATCTTTCCAAGTCCCGTATGTGTCTCTCCATTTTCCATGTCCGGTTCTTGTATGATACCAAACACACTTAAATATATATACTAGTTTGGCTCTTCCCGGATAGCGAATACCAAGTATTCTATCCAAATACCCATAGTAAATCAAACCTTCAGCTCCAATGGCCGCAATTCCGCAATTTTGGGTAGTCCGAGATTCTTCTGTCCTTGATTTCAAATTTGTAGCCATTTATACCAAATCCTTTGTAGTATGCAACCTCCAGGCTTGGATGTCGAGCTAGACATCTCAAATCATCATCTAATGTTAATTCTGAGTTTGGATCTTGGACCTGAGAAAATAGTTCATCATTCCAATTCTAGGAATATAAAGATAAAATTATAGATTAATACAATGACATATAAGAAATTCTTACATAATTTTTAAACCAGGCACAAAAATTTTCTTGGTGATGCTTCTCCAACCATTCATCATTCCAATTGTGATGCTCTTCATGTAATTCATCCTTATAAATTCTATTCTCAACATGAATTGTTACATCAACATTATATTATTACACATATAATAGTAAATGCAAAATAGACTTACCCTCTAACTTCCTCAAGGCAAACGCTATTGAGGAGGATAAATTGATGTATTTGATTAATAAATGTGATTCCCATTGTCATGTAAGTTGGTTTGCCATGTGTTCCATCACGAATACGCACAGGCCTATTGAGCTTAGTCTCTATGTTTTCATCCAAATAACGAGAACAAAATGTCGTTACCTCCTCCAGGAGATAACCTTCCATTATAGAACCCTCTGGCCGATTTCTATTCCGAATGTAATTTTTTAGAGTGAGAAGGTACCTACAAATACTAGTATTAGATTACTACATAAAAACATACAAAATAGAAAAGTTATATTTGTTGTGTCAAAGAAAAAAGCGAAACACCTTTCTATAGGATACATCCACCGATATTGTACCGGTCCAGCAAGCCTTGCTTCGGTTGCAAGATGAACAGTCAGGTGTATTATAATATCAAACAATGATGGTGGAAAAATCCGCTCAAGCTTGCACAATATTAAGGGAACTGCTTCTTGTAGCTTCTCCAACTCCTTGTCCTCAATGGTTTTAGCACACAATTCCCTAAAAAAGTTGCAAAGTTCATTGATCACTAAACCAACAGATTCAGGAAGCGAAGCCCTAAGGGATAGTGGGAGAAGGTGCTCCATAATAACATGGTGATCGTGACTCTTCAACCCATCTATCTTGCCTTTTACAGTCTTTATCTTCTTATTAAATGATCCAGAAAACCCTGTAGGAACCTTCAGCTCATGCAATACCTCCAAAAATATTTTCTTTTCTAGTTTTGACATATGATAAACGGCATTGGGGAGTACAAATTTTCCTGGTTTACCTAATTTAGGTATAGGGTGCAACTCTTTTCTAATGTTTAAGTGTTGTAGATCCCTCCGAGCTTGTAGGTTATCTTTTGATTTTCCATCTTTACAAAGAAGCAAGTTAAGTATGTGCTCAGATACCCCCTTCTCAATGTGCATGACGTCCAAATTGTGACGCACTGTATTTGTCACCCAATACGGTAGTTCAAAGAAAATACTTTTCTTATTCCATCCTTGTGGCTTTTCCTGTCTTTCCTTTACTTTTCCAAAAATCACATTTTCATAATCATTCCATTGAGCAAGTATGTCCGCTCCAGATAAGGGGATGTGCATTAATTGTCGATGCTCTGTAGTACCATCAAAGTGAACATCATCATCCCTATAGAGATGGTCTTCTTTCAACATACGTCGATGACCACAATAACATATCTTTTTGCTAAAAGACAACCATGTCGATGCTGTATCCACGTGGCAATATGGACATGCTTTATAACCATGTACAGAATATCCCGATAGCATTCCATATGCAGGAAAATCATTAATTGTCCACATTAAGGCTGCACGCATTATGAAGGTTTCCCCTTTATCTGCATCATATGTCTCCACACCATCAATGAATAAAGACCGTAACTCTTCGATGAGAGGTCGGAGATAAACGTCGATATTATTTCCCGGTGAACTGGGTCCATCAATCAAAAGAGGCATCATAAAATATGATTGATCCATAGCCAGCCACGGTGAGAGATTATAAATCATCATTACAACCGACCATGTGCTGTGTGGATTACCATTAAAACTAAAGGGGCAAAAGCCATCACTAGCTAGTCCGAGCTTGATATTACGAGGATCCTGACTAAATATTGGATGTAACTTGTCGAAATTCTTCCATGCAGGTGAATCTCTTGGATGACTCATTTTGCCATCTTCACTTGGAAGAGCACGATCATGCCAGGTCATTGCCACCGCTGTCTTCTTACACTTGTAAAGTCTCTGCAACCTCTGTGTAATAGGAAAATATCGTACTACCTTGAGAGGTATGTTATTCTTGCTAGTATGTGCTTTCTTCTTATATCTGGACACTCCACAAGTAGGGCACTCTTTCTTATATGAGTTTTCTTTCCAATACAGTACACAATCATTGGGACATGCATGAATCTTCTCACAAATTAAACCCATATTAGACATTATCTTTTGAGCTTCATACCAGCTATCAGGGACATTGTTCCCAACAGGCATAGAATATTTTAGGAATTTAAGAAGCATCGTGAATGACTTGTTGCTCCATTTGTTTAGGCACTTAATCTGGAAAAGTTGAACGAACCATGACAGCGTGGAATGTTTTGCATTCTCATAAATCGGTCTCCTAGCATCATTCATGTACTTCTCATACTCATCTACATATTGTTCTTGTCTGGGAGGACTATCTTCAACATGATTAGGGTCACCGAAAGCAACCTCTACCATTTCCTCCATCTCCTCTTCTGGAAACAAGTTAATATCGTCAACTTCTTCTTCTTCTTATTCTTCGACATTATTAGGAGTTAGAATTTCTCCGTGATATACCCAAGTTGTATAACCTCTAATAAAACCATACTTGACAATGTGTCACGAGCCATGATAACCTAACCAAGACAGAGTTAGTGATAACAACTCATAAATTAAGCACGCTTGCACTAATTTTTAGAAAATTATAAAAACTATATAGTTTGGTATAAATAAATTTTATTTCATTGTTTAAATTTAATCACAATTTTCAATAATGTGAAACATACCTAGTGCATCAAATATTTATTATGTTTATGAAATTTTCACATAATATATGCTTACCAGTTATATTTCAAGTAGTAAAAGAATATAGCAAAAATCTAACACTGACTACCAATTACCTCTTAGAAATTAAATGATAACAACTGCTGATATAGTCACGAGCCATGATAACCTAACCAAGACAGAGTTAGTGATAACAACTCATAAATTAAGCATGCTTGCACTAATTTTTAGAAAATTATAAAAACTATATAGTTTGGTATAAATAAATTTTATTTACTTGTTTAAATTTAATCACAATTTTCATAAATGTGAAACATACCTAGTGCATCAAATATTTATTATGTGTATGAAATTTTCACATAATATATGCTTACCAGTTATATTTCAAGCAGTAAAAGAATATAGCAAAAATCTAACACTGACTACCAATTACCTCTTAGAAATTAAATGATAACAACTGGCCAATTAAAAATTAAAAACTCGATCTAGACATTAGCTTGAAATTAACACAGTTACGCATTGCCTTAAATTTCAAATACAAGTATCTTGAGACTTAGATCCATTTTGTCTACAAATTATTCATAAGCCACTCTCACAGATGTGTAGATACAATAATAATCAAACATATGAAATGGGCCTCACAGGATCTGTTTTTTATTTTTTTTGGGTTTGGTGGAGTGGGGGTAAATTAACAGATTGGGAACCATCACCTTCTTGTGTGCTTCTTTAACTTTGTCAGGAGGGGCGTTCTCCCTGTTCAGCAGAAAAAGAAAAGAACGCCAAATTGAAAAAAACTCACAAAAAAAAAACAGCAATTACACAAAATTATATGTCCAGTTGAGTTTGCTATGGCCAGAACCAAGATTGCATTTTTCAAAAAATAAGGACATACAGTATACAGAGCTAAAATCTGACCTATATTCTAGGCACTCTGCTCTAATACTTGTTCATGCACATTTGCACCAATAACATTGGGTAACCAGCAACCCAGTTTCTGTAAATATTTCAAGCTTACTAGCTGAAGAACGCGCCAAGAAAAACAGCAAGTATTGGCTTAACTTCAGAAATGGGCCTCACAGGATCTGTTTTTTATTTTTTTTGGGTTTGGTGGAGTGGGGGTAAATTAACAGATAATAAATGGGCCTCCTTGATATCATGTGCAATGTACTAACTATGCAACAATTTTCTCACATATAAAGCTTTGAAAGCAGGCTGTATCTATTCTCAGTTGTCACTCTCATATTTCAGCTCAGGGTACAGGATACAAGGATTAGTGTATAAGGGAATAATCGTTGAAAATGTGTGTGGAATCAAGAAGATAAGCAAGGATCGATATGTCACAGGAAGTTAACATACTGCACAAACTCAATCATGTCAATATTATAAGCCTCCATGGAATTTGTACAGGAGAAGAAAACTGCTATTTAGTCTATGAATTCATGGAGAATGGGTCTCTGAAGGATTGGCTCAAGAATCCTAACAAGCAGTAATGTTCTCCTTAACGGGAAATTGAGAGCTAAAATAACAAATTTTACACTGGCAAGATCATCAGACTGGAGAGACCGTAGATCGAGCCGTGAGAATGAAATTGAGAGTTAAGAGGATTTACAAGTCAAGTGTCCGGCGAAGATGAGGAGGAGGAGAGGCGGCGAGGTTCGATTTGGGAGGAAGAACTAGGGTTTTTTTTGGGGATTCGGCGGAAAAGTACAGGTCGACGGCGGGGGCGAACTTCAGGGCTCGATGGCGGCGGCGATCTCCGACGGAGGTAGCGAACTGCGACGAAATGCAGGTCTCGACGGCGCAATGCAGGCTCGACGGCGGCGACGAAATGCAGGTCTCGACGGCAGCGGCGACGAACTTCAAGTCTCAGGCTCGACGGTAGCGGCGACGAACTCCGATCAGAGAAGGCAACGGCAGCGGCGACGAACTCAGGGGGGACCGATTTTTTGATGAGAGAGAGAGAGAGAGAGAGAGAGCGGGGGAGGGAGAGAGAGATCGAAAACGGGTCTTTTGGGGGTTTTGGGGGGATTTCTTCGTTTTTTATTTTTTTTTCGCGAAAAATAATGGGGGGAAAATTCCCTCCGTTGGCTTTTTTGCCAAATCCACTTTGCCCCAACGGGTTAACCCGTTGGGGCTGATAAATCCAGCCCCAACGGTTGTATACACCCGTTGGGGCTGGTCATCTTTTTACTAGTGGATACACAAAGTTTGCAGAAGTAAAAACTAGTTTAAAACTCCTCAAATTAACAACCAATACCAAATTGCATATCTGAACCATTTGCATAAGAACAAGCAAATGAAGTAAGCGATAAAAGTGAGAATTGCAAGAAGCAGGGAGAATGATAACAATCTTGGATTGAGGAAAATAGTTTTGAAGTCAGAGAGCTTATATAAATTGGAAAGAAAACAATAATACTACATAGAGACACCAGATGTGCATAAATCCCTTACAAAAATTTCCACAACAAGTGAAGAACATAAAAAAAACAATGCCACATATAAACAACAGTTTTCATAAATTTAATTAATGAGTAAAAAATAACTATTTTTACTGAAATTCCAAAATAAGTCAGAATGGTAAATGCTTATGCTCTTCTGGGTGACCTGATCGATACTTAACAACTGGCATGGATTCATATGTATCGTAAAACAAGCGAAGTTTAAACTATTGAATATAGTTTGTACAAGTGCATCAGTTCATGAAATTAGTGTTGTTGTCAATAGTTGTATGTGAAAATTGATACTCCAACAACTATATGAGCAATATAAGAAAATAAATGAATAGTGTGGTCTAAAGATCAAGAGATAGCTGCAACTTTTGTCCATGCATTGAGCAGACCATGACCTAAGCGATGGACAATATTGCCATCTAGGAGAAGATACTTTTTGAAAGGGTGGTATTCAAAAGTGATTTTATGTGGTATTCAAAAGTGATTTTATAGGATCACTTATTCCTCTTTCACAACTGGAATGAAAACTAGAAATGAAAAAAATGAAAAAAAGTAGTACTAACTCATAACTGACCGAACCATATATGGTCTTGAATTCAGATTCTGGCAGTTTGATCAGTCTGCGTATAGACTAATAACTGAGAAGGATTGCGGATTTAAGTTTTCTGCAAGAAATAAATGGTCATTAGCCTTAAAGAACGACCCAAACCATCTAGGGAAAAAATGTTAATAGTCATACAAGCAAGGGTTTCTACTTATAAGCCTAAGGTTCAACGCTGTATATTTTAAAAGACGTGTAGTTTTATAGGATCCGATATAACCTAAAATACAAAAATTATTTATTTTTTAACCCAAAATACGGAAGACATGCACCTTAAATAAACCACTATATACACTCTGTATGTGGCTATATACCAATATATATGTAGCTATACACCTTATATTATGCACCAATACTCAGTTCAAAATAAATTATGCACCAATACACTCTACAGCATGGCTTATTGTATATGTATAGTAGGTAATTCCCTTTATATTTTACCAATATAATTTGTAATATATTATTTACAAACTACCAGAGAAATAACAACTTTCGTTCAAGAATCACGTTTTGAAAATGGTAGGCATCCTGTGAAAGAATCATTTGTGCATCCTTCCAAAGAAGTACTATCTTGTCTTAAATGGCCTCATTGAATATCTGTAGCTGCTTGTTTGCAGGCCTGACCTTGATGCACACAAAAAATGACAATTTTATCTGGGCCCAAAACAAGTGGAGAGCAATAATTCTTGTTTCAATCAGTACCAAGTTGATGAGCAGGCATAATTGCTAGAAATCTAGATTGTCTTGCGGATGAAAAGTAAACAGTAACAACGTGGTTTTATTTTGTAGGTAAAATAAATTGTTTGTTTTAACTTTGCTCATGTTAATTGAGGAGCGGTTAACGGTGTAAGTTAGTAGGCGATTTTTTTGCAGCTATCTTACGCCCCCGCTAAGTTCTCTCATGGCTAAAAAGAAGAAGAAAAATGGGGGAAAAAATTCTAGAAATTGGATTGAGATCTTCATATCCAAGTTCATCTGCTCTAGAGGATCAGTCTGATGCGTCTTTGGTCGAAGATGATGAAGATTCATATATTAAGATGGGGTCAACGGGCCCTAAGGAAGGGAGAGAAGAAAAAGATATCAATGATGGAGATCCTTAGATCTAATGTCTTCTCTGTTGAATCTCGTCTTCCTCAAGCTACTCCTAAGATTGTAGGAGTTCAATCTCGGAATCTCAGCAAGTCGTCAATCTCTAGTAAGATGCTCAACTCTGTTGCTGGTTATTCTAGTATTAGATCTTGGGCTGATGAAGTGAGCTGGGAAGCAATCTGGATGTTTCTCTTTCACGGAGTTTTGTAAATGATTCAGCTAGGGAAAGGTTTACTGATTCAATTCCGGTATCGGATCTAGATTTGAATACTGTTACATTGAAAACACACATTGAAAACACACATTGAAAATTTGATTTCAGATCCAGTCTCTATGTCGAATGCTGATGCTATTAGAAAATCTACTGGTAAAATTTTAGTGGAGAATCCCGGTATTTTAAATTTTGAATCAACTGATTTATCCCGATAAGATTCAATTCTTCATTTTTAGGCACATGCATTTTTAGAAGTAGAACATAAATAGTCATTTATAAAGGAAGCAGTATCATTTTGTATGTTCTCTACTTCTAACATGACATTATTTTTGTCATGAGTCAAGTTAGC